CCCCTAACCCAGGTAAGTGATGCAAGTCACGTAGGCAGAGGGAGCAGGTTTCCCCCTCCCTCAGGAATGCAGCCAGCTCAAGTTACCTAAAGAGACAGGCTGAGGGTGTGGTCACAGCACAGAGATTTAAATCACAGTGTCACAGGGCAGAGATTTTTGGGGAGAAACCAAGGTGGCTTTCTGCCACAGATCTCATGGAGAATTAAAAATCAGATCATGCATGCGTACTCTGTGTAACATATTGATACATTATGTAGGTATCAGTAATATGTGAAACTGAGATTGGTGACAACTAATCATTCTATCATGGCATAAAGTGAGACCACACTGTAATATCTAACCATGAAGGGGCAAATCGTTCCTCAGTGACTTGTTATCTTCCTTCTCTTTGAATGCTGTATTTTTCAACCTGTGTTTTGTATCGGTACTGAGCTTTGTGCATTGACCCCCATGTTCACACCATCCTCTGTTTTTTGTGAGTTTACTCGCATACTGACCTGGCACAAGCCAGTCACTGACTTATAATAATGTGGCCCTGAGAGGACCCTCCAGTAAGGTCAGACAGTGCCACCCTCCTTCCTTGGCAAGCCTTGGGCTCAGGGTAGATGTCCCCAGATCCTACCCAACTGCTTTTCCTCCCATGCAGGCTCTGCCCGGACCATAACAGAAGACGATGCTAGCATCAAGACCCAGCTCTATAAGCTCACCGCCAGCGTCAGCTTCTCCTATACCAATGTTGCCTGGAAAATCTTCCTACGCAAAGAGGTGCAGCTGGAGGCCTCTAGCTGTGGGGTCATGCACAAGGGGTAGAGAAAGTCAGGAGAAAAAAACCTGGCTTTGCACTTGAGACGCACTGGAGACAGCCACACCGGTAGCTGAAGGGGGAAGCCTGGCACTGAACTAGGAGTCTGGAGATCCTTGTCCAGTTCCTGACCTTGCTGCATGTATCCTTGGGCTCATTCCTGTGCCTCACCTGCCCATTCCCTCCACTACGAGATCTAGGGATGGAAAACGTTCACAGAAGCCCTCACCAGCTGTGATCGGCTGTTTCTCTCTCCCCATAGCAGCATAGCAGGCAGGGGCTGGAGAATGCATTGAGCTACCCAGGATTCTCCCTACTTTCCACTGCTTCTCTGAGTCTCCCTTCCTCTGCTAAGAACTTCCCCTTCTTCTGCCTCAGCTTAACACTGGAGGCAGACACCTCTGCTCAGTGTTAAGGTAGCTGGATTGCAAGATACTCCCATGGAAGCAGTTTTTGTTCTGTTTCTGACACTCCTGCTGTTTTTATCCCCTTTGTTCCAGGTGTTTTACCCCAAAGAAAACTTCAGTCACCCCTATTCTCTGAACCTCCTGTGTGAGCAGGTGAGAGTCTATGTACATCCCCTGGTCCTTCCTTTATGTTCACATGCTTCTCTGGGATGCTGCCCTCACTCCCATATTGTTAATGGTTTGGGTCCCTCCCTTGGACCCATTCAAACCACATGCCCTGCTTTATCCCTGAGCCTCTAGCCACTGGGAAGCCTCAGGCACTCCACACCAGCTTTGGCCCACAGCCTCCCCCATGGAATCCTGTCTGCTTTGTCTCCCCTGCAGATCATTCAAGACACTTACTCTGACTCCTGCTTTCGGATCTCCAAGGAGGAGAGGCGGAAAATGAAAGACTTGTTGGGTAACTAGTGATTCTTCCTTACCCTATTCCTGCTTTTAGCTGCAGCCTTGTCAGTGAAAGGGACTGAGGAGAGAACCAGCTGTGGGTGGCACTTCCATAGTTGGTCATTGCGCTGCCTTGATGGCACTTCCATAGTTGGGCTTTGCATTGCCTTGATGGCTTCACTAGCATTCAGCCTCTGTGTTTATACAGCACAGTGGCCTAGGCAAAGCACTTGGGGCCCATTCACTAATCCTCATGGCATCCCTGCGACGCAGAGGAATTTTAACCCTGTTCTGATCGGGAGGGAGTAGGAAGGGAGAACTGCCCCGTGCTCCATCTTGAATGAGAGAATTGCCCCATAATTCACTTGACTACGTTGTCACGATGAGGCCATCAAGGAGAAGTTTCACAAATAGGACCACTGTGTATGAGGGTCATTGGCAGCAGAGGTTGCTCTGTCTTGAGGATTGTGCCTGGTGGGAAGGGAGTTGTAATGAAAGGCCATATTGGATGGACATGATTTTGGAACTGGGCATGTTTAGACCCAAGGGATGTTGAGAGACTGCGGGAGGCTGAGGCATCATCGTTGATAAGAAAGGCAGTTCCATTGGCCCAGACAAGGGAATCTAGCTATTCCATGCCAGCCTCTGTTCCAGGACTAGGGCAAACACTGCTGGGAAATCTAGGCGGCGCCATGAGGGTGGCTGTGGAGTAGAGACAGACTCCAGCTGTAGAGATGACCTCTATGCATGGAGATGGCAGGGGCTTGGCATGGACCCCTCCCTAGCTGCAGGAAATCTGCCTGCAAACCTCCAGCAGGGAGAGACTGCACTGTCTCTGCTGTGGGAACTCAGCCTCTGCATTGTGCCCCTGCCAGCGGAGTTCCAGGTCGGCCTGGATGCCAGCTCCATTCTGGAGGATGGACTCAAGAAGAGGATCGTGGTAGCTGCTCGAGATAACTGGGCCAACTACTTCTCCCGCCTCTTCCCAGTTCAGGTATGATTTTCTCTTTCCTCAAGATCCAGTTCAGACCAGCACCTCTCTACTCCCTCTGGTCTGAGTGAGCTGGAGATCTGCAGTCCAGGCTTGTACCCAGAGCCAGGCAGGGCATCAGATCCCTGTTGAGAGACCAAGTAGATTGTGACCCCCCCCCCAGATCCAAACACTGTGCCCTGTGAGGTGTTGATGATTATAACCTGAACCCACAATTGGTGGCTTTGGGCCATTTTGAACCTCTTCCCACCTGGCTGTTTGTCCTGCTGTCTTGCCCCACCAATCTGTCCACCACCGCCCCGCTGCAATCCTTCCCCCCCCCCACACACACACCAAGGCTTTTGGATCCTCTTCTTCTCTGCCCACACACCTTGCCTGATTCTTGTCCGGTGCTCATTCTCCACACATCCTCCACCCCAGTGTTCCCCTGTCCATCGTTCAGCATGTTTAGCTCTCACTGGCCTCTTCCTCAGTCTGCCAAGACTCTACCAGCAGGTGGACTTCTCTTTCAGGGTGAAAATGGAAGCAATGTCCAGATCCTGGGGGTTTCTCACCGGGGCCTCCGGCTGCTGAAGATAGCAAAAGCAGCTGGATTTAGCCCTGAACACCTGAAGATCCTTTGCAGCTATAGGTGAGGGAGTGGGCCTGGAGGGGAATTTGGGGAGTTACTAGAGGCAGCGGGTTGCTCCTCTTTGGGCTTCCTGCGGAGCAGAAACACTGTCTGTTGCCTTCCTGTAGTTTTGGGTGGTTCTGACTAGCACTTCCCCTGACGGTGAGGATAGAGTGTGTTTTTCTGCATCCTGCCCTTCCCCTTGTACATGGAGCAGAGACCAAGCAGAAGATCCAGTATGGCTTCCTTGGCTACACGATGCTCTTGTGAAAGGTCACTCAGCCTTTGTGGTGATTGACCTCACTGGCTGGTCCAACCTTTTTGTTTTAAAACTTGTTAGTTGTTTCTTCGGCAGCTTGAGTGTTTGCTTGGGCCCCTGTCCTAGTCCCCCTCTGTTGGTTGTCACTGCTGGGCTGGGCTGCGTCCCCAGCTCTGGTGTTGGTGGCTGGCTCATGGTGTTGGATCCTCAGTTTTGCAGACTTGATGTCCGTGGAGCTGAAGGGCAGAAACACCCTGGAGTTCTCGCTGAAGAATGAGCAGCTGATCCTGCACTCGGCAAAGGCTCAGCAAGTCAAGGCTATGGTGGAGCTCTTCCTCCAGGAGCTGAGGCAGGTATGAGAATGGTCCAGCAGCGACTGGGGGTGACCCACTGGCTCAGCACAGTAATGTGCAACTTGAGGCTTCCTCAGATGTGGTAATGAGAGTGACAGGCTGCAGCCCCTTCCTTGTCCCTTTCTTCCACAGGACTCCAACTATGTTGTTGCTCTGCGCAGCTACGTCACAGATGACAAGAGCCTGTTGAATTTCAAGAAGGGCGACATCATCAAGTTACTTCCCATTCATGGGTTGGAGCCAGGTGAGAGGGGCTCTGTGCAGGGCATAGGGACACTGCAGGAATTGATTTGTGGAGGTCTGCACTCAAAGCTCTGCATCCAGAACATTGCATCCACCATGCAAGAGGCCTTTCACTGTGTTACTGGGCCCCTGTGCCACAGAAGGAGGGAAGAGGGAGGGCCAAAGCTCCTGAAGCAAGCTAGGCTGGGCATTAGGATGCCCACCCTCAGCTCTGCCACTGACCCCAGAGTGGCTGGGTGGTGGCTTTAACCTGAGGTGCCAGGAGGGGCAGTTAGAGCTTGGAAGCCCTTTTTAGGCTGGAAGGCACTGCAGGAAATCAGGGTGCTCTTTTTGCCTAAGGCCACCATACTTCTTGGCTCTGACCCTGTTCTTACTCACCTTTGCCAGGATGGCTGTTTGGCTCCATCAACGGCCGGTCCGGCCTCTTCCCTGCCAACTTGGTGCAGCTGGCAGCAGTCCCTGATTACCTCAGTGCCAGCATGGAGAGAATTGAGGGCGTGCGGAAGAGCCCGAGGAGTGACTTGCAGGGGAAGAGCGCCAGAAGGGAGGTGAGGTCTGCGCTGGGACAGTGTTAGCAAATAAAAACCTAGTATTCTGGACTAGCCCAGGGATTGACACAACACCCCATTTGATGAGTGACAGAAAGGCTTTATTTACTACAAGTATTTAAAATCAAATCAAGTGAGCCCAAAGCAAATCAAAGTCCAGTAATTAGCTATAAGATGATGATTTTTTACCAAACAGGCGACAAAGAGGTGGTCTGTTTCTCTTCAACTTCTTGAGTAAGTCGGGCACAACAGCAACAGGTGTCAGAGAGATTTCTCACTCCTGAAGCTCACGCGCTGTTTGCTGTTTTACTGCCTTTTTATACCCTTAGTTTAGCATCTTCAAAGCATTCTTTTAGTTGTGTAAGAGAGTCTCAAGCAGTAATTGACAGGAAAAACCTGTTCATTACTGGTTATCAGAAATTTCTCATAGGAGATCTCATGAGGCTGGTTCTCTGAGGGGAGCTGATCCCACATACAGATGACAGTGCCCATCTGTCATGCCCATGTGGAAGCCTTGAGGAACACAGGTAAAGGTATACTGCCTTCCCTTAAAGGTCAAAGCAAATTGATACCGAGGGTCAGGGTCAAGGGGAATTGCAAAAAATGCCTTTGATAGATCTAACATGGAAAAACCATTGTGCACCCCCGGCTATGGAAGCCATAACCTCAGGATATTTGGCTACTATTGGTGCCTGGGCAGGGGTAAATTTGTTAAGAGCTCAGAAATTAACAGCCAAGCGCCAGGTTTTTCCATCTCCCTTTTGAACTGGCCAAGTAGGGCTGTTATTAGGGCTGGCTTGTTGCACTAAGACGCCTTGCTGGAGTAGACTATTGACAGATTTTTCCAGGCTGGGCTCTGCTGCAGCTGGGAAGCGGTATTGTCGCTGAGGAGCGGGGTCTAGTCCTGTTACTTTTTCAAGGGCATTAATTTTTCCACAATCTAATTTTGATTGGAACAGCATTTGCTATGCTTTGAACACTGGGGGGCCGTTTGGGTCAGTTTAGAATTTCAGGCGCCTTAAGGGCCAAACAGCGATGTGCTGCATGGATAACTATGGCTTCTGTGTCTTGCGCTCTCATGCTGCACCCAAGCTGAACATGAACTGTTGAATTAGCAAGGTCTACAACAGCCTGTAGGGCCCTTAGTGCATTTATTCCTAATATCCCAATTCCTCCTAATGGAGTTAAGGCAAACTCAGCCTTACTTGTGGGCAGGGCGGACGGCTTACCAACCCAGAACTGTAAGGGAGTGGAAATTGAGGCAATGGTCGAATGGCCATTAAATTCTTCAAGGGTTATAACCCGGGGACCTCTAATTTGGGAAGTCTGGAGTCCCTCACAACTTAAAATGGACAAGGATGTGCCGGAATCTAAAAGCACTTGCTGCTGCCTCAGTTTCCCCAGAGATCCTGGATCTTTCCAAAAGACCTGGATCTCAGGCCGTCCCCATTAATCATATGTTATTGGAGCAAAGGTGGTTACAGGATGTGCTGGGGAGACCGGGCTGACCTAATGTTCAGTGCGAGTGGGAGCATTCGGTGAGGTACCATTAGCGTTGCCTTGTAGGCTGCGCTCTCGGTACCTAGCCAAGCGGCAAAGAAGCTCATGTGTGGACAGTCCATCAATGGCATCGTGGGAGTTCGTACTGTAGTAAATGGCACCATACTTCTGCCCTAAAAGAATTAGTAGTGTTAACTCTGGATCCATCTCGATCAGTGGGGCGGCTGTATCCACGCCCATGACGACCAAGATATGTGGCAACCTTAGCTTTATTCTTTTGGTTAGGAGCCAATGCCGAGGTTGCATTATGAGCATCACAAAGCTGTGTCTGCATACTGGCAAAGGAGAGGCCAAGTGGAAAGTTACTTGCCACTAGCCTCACGTCACTATTTAGTGACTGTATTACTGCTGTTTTAAAATTGGGCGTGTCATAATTGACAGGTTGATCCAGAGTTGGGGGTGGAATAATTTCTGATAAATGGGCTAAATTTTTTTTCTTATTAAGAAAGAAGCCTGGGTGTTCTCTGGGCTTTTGTTTCTCAGAATAAAACAAGCCCAACATACTCTCTTTTGCTCGAAAATACTGAGTAACTCACTTTAGAGCTTCTGTGGGATCTGCACTTAGTCTAAACTTAATTCTGCCGGGAAGTCCAGTGTAGTGAGTGGGTTGCACAGATTCTCTGAGTAAAGCAAGTCAATCAGATTGGAAATGGAAGGTAGGCATGTTACAGACAGTTGTTAGCCAGTCTAAAACAGTGGAGCTGTTTAAAGGGCCAAGTGATTTAGCCAAGGCAGCTGCCTGTGCCTGCTCCAGCGGGGAGCTTTCTAACCGTGAGTGGGTATGGGTAACTTCATTTTCAGCATTTAGGACTTGTGTGGTATGGGTAGTGACAGGTGCCATTGGTACACCTGGTTTTATAGGTGCAGGGGGAGTTGAGGGAGATGCCAGTGGCGTCTGAGACTTGTGATCCGTGGTTATTGGATGCAAAGGGACTGGAGCATCTGGACTGTGTGGAGGTGGAGATGATTCTGGGATGTTACTGGGGAAGGTTTGAACCACCTTGGGAAGAACAGCTGAGATAATACCCCTGAAGGCTTTTATTTCCTCCTTAAGGGCAGCAATCTGTTGATTGCACTTGATATGATCAGCATCCTGCTGCTGTGCCTAATAGTTTTGTTCTAGCACTTACCTGATCCCTCCCTCTGCTTCTTCTGCCTTAAATTTCCAGTGATCTAGTTCAGTTTCTAATTCCTTAACCTGCCTGTCTGCTTCCTTCCTTCTTTCCCTCTCTTCCTTAATAGTGTTAAAAAAGCCAAGGCTCTGGGCAGTAAGCATTTGAGCATCAGTTTTCCAACTATCAGCCTGCTTCTCTGCGTCTTTCCATTTGTCCTCCTCTCTCTTAATAGAATCCACAAGGCTAACATTTTGGATAGTAAGTGACTGGGCATTAGTTTTCCAATTTTCAGTATCCTTTGCTGCAACCACAACCTCTAACTCATGGTTTTTAACCTCTGTGTGTAACTGAACAACTTCCTTATGCAGAGCCGGACTGACTTGAAACATACCCTGCAACAATGCCTTCTTTTTGTCCTTTTTGCCATCTTTAGGTTTAATTGTGCAAAAGACCTCCCGTTGTGAGCACAGATTTTTCCATGCCCCGAGGCCAGTGAATTTGTCAGTCTCCCAAGGACCGCTATCCAATTTCTGTTCCTGTATAAATTGTTTCATCACAGCTCCCATGAATGATTCAGTTGGTGCTGTCATGGCTAAGCAAGCAAGTTTTGTCAGCCTCTCTTCCTCCTCCCACCAAGGGAATCAGAAATCACCCTGAAGATAGGTTGGTACCCTTTTCTGTCAGGACTAATACTTGGACTATGGTATCTGGATGTGGGTCGTGAGTCCACACCCTGATACTGGCTCAAAACTGCAACAATAAAGCAACAAGAACAGCTTTTCTCCAAGCGTTTCTGTCGTCGATCCACGCCAGCCACTGATCCCAGCGGTGCCTCCAATTTGTTAGCAGATAAAAACCTAGGATTCCAGACTAGCCAAGGGATTGACACGACACCTTGTTTGATGAGTGACAGAAAGGCTTTATTTACTACAAGTATTTAAAATCGACTCAAGTGAGCCCAAACCAAATCAAAGTCCAGTAATTAGCTATAAGGTGGTGATTTCTCACCAAACAGGTGACGAAGAGGCGGTGTGTTTCTCTTCAACTGGAGTACTGTGTCCAGTTTTGGGCTCCACAATTCAAAAGGGATGTGGAGAAGTTTGATAGAGTCCAGAGAAGAGCCACACGCATGATCAGAGATCAAGAAAACAGACCTTATGATGAGAGGCTGAGAGCCATGGGACACTTTAGCCTGGAAAAGCGCAGGCTCGGGGTGATCTGGTGGCCACCTATAAGTTCATCAGGGATGCTCACCAGGATCTGGGGGAATGTCTGTTCACCAGGGCGCCCCAAGGGATGATGAGGTTGAATGGTCACAAACTCCTCCATGACTGTCTCAGGCTGGACATGAGGAAGAAATTCTTTATTGTCTGAGCCCCCAAGGCCTGGAACAGCCTGCCGCCGGAGGTGGTTCAAGCACCCACTTTGAATGCCTTGAAGACACTTCTGGATGTTTATCTTGCTGGGATCCTATGACCCCAGCTGACTTCCTGCCCTTGGGCAGGGGGCTGGACTCTGATCCTCCAGGGTCTCTTCCAGCCCAAATGTCTATGAAATTTCTCGAGTAAGTCGTGCACATCAGCAACTGGTGTCTGAGAGATTTCTCACTCTTGAAGCGTGCGCGCTGTTTGCTGTTTTACTGCCTTCTTATACCCTTAGTTTAGCATCTTCAAAGCATTCTTTTAGTTGTGTAAGAGAAAGTCTCAAGCAGTAATTGGCAGGAAGAACCTGCTCATTACTGGTTATCAGACGCTTCTAATTTGAATGAGTTACCTTCTTCGGTAACAAGAGGTGATCCAGTTTGGAACATATCAAGAAACTTATTAACAGCCACAAAAAACATACTAAATCAGGAGGAGACACCTATCACATATGGAGAATGTCTCTTCCTGCACATAAACACAAGTTAGTCACAAAAGAAATATTTACCATACTAATTAATCAAGGATAGACATTTCATATGGTTACACACCAGACAACGGAGAGTCTGCCTGAAATCATCCTGAATATAGCGAGATAAGCTGGAAGAGATACTTCATTAATCCTTCTCAGATGGCCTAGCCATGAACTCGCATCCTCTTGCAATATGCAGTTAGCATCAGTATTCTGTATTTTAACTTTTGTGAGTAGGCCCAAGCTTGGCATGAGTTTCAGAGTCATCAGACAGGGCATGGGGTTGCAGGCTTTGGTCTGCTGTAGCTCTGAGGAAGATCTCTGGAAAGGCTGAGGGAAGTTTCCAGGTAGAGGCTGGGGTTCATGGGGGGTGGTGGCAATTATCTTCTGTGATCTTAGGGCACTAGCCTGTGATTCAGGAGACCAGGTTTCAAGCCCCTGCTCTTCCACAGACTCCCTTGAGCAAGTCACTGGGCCTCCCTGTGCCTTAGCTGGGGGTGACATGGGGGTGACAGCCCTGACTTACTGCACGGGGGAGCTGGGGGGTTACAGACATTACAGATCTATGTGGTGCTTGGATATAATGGGGCTGGAGGCCAAGTGGCCAAAGGGCAAGTGAGTCCCATCCAGGTGGTGGGGGAGGCCCTGCAGGTGGGAGCCACAAGAACCTGAAGCAGGAAAGGAGACACTGGCCAGGGGTGGAAAGATCCTTCTTGAGCTAATGCCTTGGGTGGGCTGGTATCTGTCTCCTCAGAGCTTTGCCTCCAGCCTGTCATCAGAAACCGCCACCACTGCCACCTTCCCTGCTGCCGATAACTACACCATGGTGGACTTTGCCCTGGCTCACTTCCGGGAGATCCAGACCACGTGAGTAGCTCGTGCCCCTTTTGCACTTAGCGGGGGTGGGGGCGGTATTTGTGTGGCCCTAGCTGTGCAGAGGGATCTGTAGGCATCTGTGATACCACCACAAATCTCCAATCTCTCTAGGCTGGGATGGAAGGGGATGAGTGCAGAGAAGAGAAGCACAGCTGTCCTGGTCCAGCACACCAAGGTGGGTGTCCCTGGGTAAGGGAAGGATGGGGAGCCTGTGGCTGGACAGTCAGGCCCCTGGTCTCCTTTGGGATGCGGGCAGTTTGGAGGCAGCGTTTTGGAGTGAGACTGGCCTCTTCCTAGAACCTGCAATGCAACAGGTCGCCCAGCTGCGATTCTCCTGCTTACCCTGTGCTCTGGCCCTGCAGGTCCCAATCCAGGAGCCCCTGCTCCCCTACTCTGACACAGAGCTGAACGAGCTGGCTACAAAGAACTTCATGAGTAAGTAACTGCCCCTGGGCACAGCACTGCAGGGGATGGAGAGGGGCTGGCTGAGATGGCTAGAGTGGCCACACACAGGTGCTTTCCCATCAGACTAACCCAGTGGGAAGGGATCTCCATGGCACAGGGGGCTCCCGTCTTTAACAGCCACATGCCTGCCTTGTGTGCGGTGTGCTGACAGGAGAGAGAAGTGCCCAGCCCCAGGGTGCATTAGGATGAATAGACACCAAGCCCCCAGCCCAAGCACATCCAGACCTAGTCTGATGCTCATCCCTGCCTTGCAGCTTTGATGCGCTTCATGGGAGACCAGCCAAAACTCAAGAACCAGGAAGAGACTGATTACTGCTATGAAATTCTTCAGGTGTGTGACCCTTCCTGGTGACATGCAGGGGCCCCAAAGGGGGGTCAGCCCAGGAGCCAGCTTCCACAAGGGAAAGGAGCAGGGGGTCCATGATCCAGCCTTGTTGATAAGGAGAGATAGTTAAGCATAGGAGCCTGTGATTTTTGCCTCCTTAGACATTGCTCCATCACAGGCCCAAGCTCAGCATCCTCTGCTCCCAGGCAGATTCCAGGCCCATGTGGTATAGAGGCAAGGGCGTGAAAATCTCTGGGTGGGCTGTGGGAAGCCCAGAGTTGTAGGATGGTCTGTTGGCACTTGAGGGGTGGGGGACAAGGACAGGGTCAAACTTTGACACTTCCTGCTGATCTCGTGCAGCTCTGCAAAGAGAAGGAGAACCTGCGTGATGAGATTTACTGCCAGGTCATCAAGCAGGTCACCCAGAACCCCAAGCCGTGAGTACAGCCACTGGCCAGAGCTCAGCACACACATGGGGAGGATGGGGCTGCATGGCTGGAGGAAGGGGGTGGGAGCATGGGATGGAAAGAGGCTGCCAGACCAGGTGTGGGGACAAAGGTAAGGGGTGGGGGGTACCAGCCATACGGGCAGAGTGAGGACAATTGGTGTGAGAGGGTGGGCATACAGGTCCGGGAGGGAAGCTGGTTGAGAAGCCACTTCACCACTGTGATCAGCGGGGAGTTCAGCACAGAAGCACAGATCTGAGACTCCTTTTCACCCACGGGTCAATCAGCAATTCCTTCATGACTGATACAGTTTCCCTGATGGAAAGTGGTGGGGGAGGATGGAGAGAACTGGGACTTTTTTGCACCCCATCATTGACACTGTACATGTTGTCAGGTCCCTGCGCAGGGCAATGACTCCCTGCCACTCATGCCCTGGCAGGGCATGCACTTTCCAGGTGTGTCTCTGCAGCTGCCAGTAAATTCCTCTATTTCCCTGTTTAGCCCTGGCTGCTCCTTGCTCTGGATTCCTGTGCCAAACCTGCAAGAGTTAAACAGTAACTCGGGATCAAGCTTAGTCAGTGGAATTATTGCTCTGATGTCTGAGCTACAGGCGTGCTATAGGTGTGTGCTGGCCAGTGAGTCAGGCGAGCCCTCATGTCAGGGCTCCCTAAGGTGACTATTGCCTCTCTGATAAGCTGACGTGGTGCCTGGGCTCAGATATGCTCCTGCCTGCCTGGTTTCTGAGAGGCCACGCATGCTTGTTCCTTGACTCTGCTATAGGTGAGGGTAGGCAGAAATGCTGATCGGGGATGGTAGAGGAGTTAGCGCGTCTTCAGCTTGTAACGGAGGGCTATGAGGGGGTGGCCGGCTGGACTCTGCACTCCCTGAAGCAGGGCCTGTCTCACTGTTTGGAGGCCTGGTCTAGACCAGTGGTTCTCAACCTTTTTGTACCAGGATCCATTTGTAACGTTGATGGCCAGTCCTGACCTAGTCAATAGTTCAAGTAGAAAACAGCCCCCTTGCCCCTCACTCCCGACCCTGACTCCTGGCTCCTTGCAGGCTGGAACTCTCCCAGCCTACAAGGGAAAACCCGTGGTATCCCGTGCTTTTCTCCTTTGAAGGAGAATCCATTTTTAAAGTTTGTTCGCGACCGTTTCATATATTCTTGTGACTCACTTTTGCGTTGTGACCCACGGGTTGAGAAATGCTGGTCTAGATACTGCTTTGTACTGAGAGAATAGCTCATTACAGCTGTTTTTAACTCAAAATCTTTCTGTGCGAGAAATTCTGATGAGGACACCCGAGGCCTGCACCCATGTAGCTGATTCTTGACTGAGAAGGGTAATTAGCTGTACAGGTGTAGGGCACCATTATGTGGGGATGGCTGCTTCTGCAGTGGGGGTGTTGCCATCATCGCTATATCAGTGCAGTAACAGTGGTGTGGGCATGCACAGCAGTAGCTCCTTCCGGCATGATTGTGATACCGGTGACAAAGGTTAGTGGGATGGATGCTGTTGGTTCTTGTTCCCCACAGACAGCATAATGGAGCCAGCCTGGCACTAATCCTGTTATGCTCAGATGTAGGGATCTCTCTTACTCCCACCTTCCCTTCCTCTTCCTCCAACTAGGCAGCCATGTTCTAGTAAGCTTGGCACTCTGAGGAGCAGAGGTGTTGTCACTTGAGGGATGGGGACATTGGTTTTAGTTCCCTTTAACCCCCCACTCGCCATGAAGACCTCCTTCCCTTTCCACCTCCACTGCTATCCCAAGAAACCTATTCCCCTGTGCTTGTTTCTGCCCTGCAGGGAAAGCTGTGCACGTGGCTGGATGCTCCTGGGCCTGCTTGCTGGTTACTGCCTTCCCTCAAGCATCTTCATGCCCTACGCAACCAAATTCTTCCAGCAAGCCAGCTCTGATCCATCCAGCATACACCAAGGTACCAGGTGCTTCCTGGCCCTGTCAGCTCTGGCCAGCAGTGCTGGGGGCCCAGAATAATTTCTCAGCTGATCCAAACTTTCCCTTGGCTTGTAGGATGGGAGCTTGGGCACATTTCTAGCGGACTCTTAGTCTACAGGGAACCACTCTGAGCTGAGCCTAAGGGGTGAGAGACAGTGCCCACCAGATGTGTGTGAAGCTGTCCCTGGCTAGTGACTCACTGGTCTTTAGGAGAAGACCCTTCTCCCTTACAGCCCCTTCTTGCTGTGCATGCACTGGAATGGAGAGAGGCTCTCAGCCTCTACCCTAGGTCCTGCTTTGGACCCTGTGGCCCTGGGCAGAGGGGTCTGTGGAGCTTGGGGTGAAATTCTCCTAAGAATGAACAGACGAGAAAAGGCTGGAGGAGATCCTTGTGCACAGTGCACCTGATTGTCCCTGACCATGATTATGCAGGGGCAGAGTGGGGTGGGGGTAGGTGCCTCTCACCCTAAAACAGAGGCCTGGGTCTAGGGAAGGACCTTTCCAGGGAGATGCAGCCTAGTGGGCTTAGGTGCTTAATTCCCCCCCTTCCTACAGAACTAGCCAGCACCTGCCAGGGCAACCTGCGGAAGACAGTTATGTATGGGGGCCGCCGGCATCTGCCCTTCCGTGTGGAGATGGAAGCACTTCTGGTACGATGGGGGAGAACAGTGGGGTGTCTGGGGGATGAGGGGTGGCAGTGCAGGGAGGAGACAGGTGCTGTGGGATGGTGAGGAGGGATGCGGTGCACTGCAAGGGGTGAACCTGCATGATGAAGAGTGGGGTGCTGGGAGGGAGGCAGGTGCCATGGGGGATTGAGAAGGAACATGGGTGCCCAGGGTAAGTGTTGGGGCAGGTGCTGTAGGGCAAGAGGAGGCAGGTGCCTTAGCATGGAGATGTGGTGCGCAGCATGGGGGAGGTGAGTGCTGCGGTGTTGGCCAGGGGAGGCGCTACAGAGGAGGGGGCTCTAGACAGGCAGACATAAGTGTTCATGGCCACGCTGTGCTCTCCTCTGACAGAAGGGGCATGGGTCCCGCCGACTCGTGATCTTTCTGCCTGGAGTCCTGGAATATGGCACCAAAATCTGGATGTTCACTGTGAGTTTCCTGCTGCCACCCAGCTGCACCCCTTGCCTTGATCCTGGGCGGCATTATCCAGTTCCAATCCATGTGGGGAAGTCCCTTGCCTTGTGCTCTTGAAAGGATGATTGCTAGCCCCTGGGCCTGGGGCTGGCCTCAGCTTCTTGGCACACTGGGTGTTTTCACCATCATCTCCTGCTCCCTCCTGGGACATGAGGGCATCAGCACAACTCACAAGAGTCCTTGTAGTGCCAGGGACACCAGCCTGTTTCTCTGTCTGTGCTGTGGCTGTGTAGCAGGACAGCTCTTAGAGTCATCACCTTCCCATCCAGAGCACTGGGGACTGGGAAAAATCCTCTGTCCTCTGGGCTCAGCCTGTAAGTGCTGTTTCTGGGCAGCCTGCCCCTTCCTCAGGACCAAGAAAAGCTTTAGCCCTGAGTCCCATGACAACGTATTTTGGATTCTGCTGTGTGGCTCTGCTGCTTCCTGGACACACCCTCCCCACAGCAGGCTGTGATCCCAGACACATTGGTGGACAGCCCTTGGGAAGCTGCGGGCTCACCCAGCCATGGTGTTCACTTGTTCCCCTCCTCCTCTCACTGCAGGTGGCTGCAGAATTAGTGCAGGAGGTCTGTGAGCAGATGGCGGTCAGCGAGATGCAGGAAATCAAGGAGTTTGCTCTTTTTGCCACTAAGGACAATGGCAAGTAGAGGGCTAGTTTTGGGTGGAGGACCTTGTACCTGGTGAGATGAGGTCTCCATGGGATGGGGTGGCACCTGCATGTCATGGTCATGGAATGATAGGGTTGGGAGGGAACTCAAGGGTCGTTCTGTGTTACCTGCTCCTGAAATGGTCCTCTCCATTGATTGCTATTGCTATTTGATGCTGGTGTGTTCTGGGGTGGGTTGTGCCGGGTAAGGAGAGCTAGGTATCCCAGGTCAGTCACTCTCTCATGCCTGTGTGTGCAGGGAAGCTGACGAAGGCAGTCCGTCCGGAGGAGTACATCCATGACTATCTGCTAGAAGACACTTTGGTGAAACTGAAGATCCGCAGGCTCACCTGGAAAACTCCACTGCACTTTGACAACGAGGTGTACCTCAGCCTCCATTATGGCCAGGTGAGTGCTAGTGTCGGCACTTGCCATGCAAGTCCCAGGGGACTCCTGCACAGTATGTGCCTGGAGCAGAATCTAGGTTTCACCTACACAACCAAGGGATCTCTGAGGAGCCAAGTGCCTGTGGGGTCTTGAGAACTTCCCAGGAGTGGAGACTGGATCAGTGATTGTCACACACAGCATCCCACTCTTAGGAATGGCCAGCGTTCAGCCTGTGTAGTGTTTCTGGGCATATGCGTATGGGTAACACTGTAGAGGAGCTTGGGAGCCAGTCAGCTCCTGGTGGGCTGGGGTTGGATTTGTCCCTGCTTGTTGTGGGACAGGGTGAAGCTCCAGTGAGAGCTGCTCAATAGCAAAATGACCCAAGGCTTTGTAATTGCCAGCCTGCAGTGCAGCTCCTGCCCACTACAGGAAGAGCCCACACTTGCCATGGCCTGGTGTGCATGCAGGGAGAATGCCAGGCCAGCATTCAGGCTGGATTGTCTGGCATTATTATTCATGCCTGAAGGACCTGCCTCTTCCCACCTGGATTAAATGGTTCCATGGATCTTGTCCTGCTTGGTGGGTCATATGCTGTGCCATGGCTCCATCAAGCAGTGTGTTAAAGTCGCTTCAGGGGATTGTGGTGGTGGCAAGACCAGACTATGAAAGGCTCAAACAGGGGTTTGGACTGGACCCAGAACAGCCCCAGCTCACAAATGTATGCTACGAGTTTCCTTGGGTCATGGGATATTTAGCTGCTGGAATAGGAGCTGCAGCTACTGAGCATATGCATTGGCAGGATCTACATGTACAGCAGGAGGCTGCACAGACCAGCTCTTAGCCACTGGTAGCCTTAACTGGTGTCCCTTTGCTGTGCTTGCTCTTAGGTTCTGTGTGATTACTTGACTGGAAAGCTGCTGCTGAACTACAGCAATGACCTGGAGAAGCAGGTGGGCACCTTGGCACTGTTCCAGCACTGGGCCAAGAAAATGGACTTACCACCCTCCAAGTAAGTGTGCCTCCAGCAGAATTTTTACGGGACAGTTAGCCAGGAGTAGAGCTGTGCTGCGTTCAGCCCAGGGTCCCAATGCTGAGGGTAGCCAGCACCAAAGGAAAGGTGCATGGAACCATCTCATGGATGATGAGGAATCAGTGAATGTCCTCCTTAGCCAAGGAACTTCCCATAAGCTCTCAGCCCCGGCGGCAACTTGTGGCAAAGTCCCACAGGCTCCTGCTGAGGAAGTGTTCTCTCTGAACTTATTGCCCTTTGATTCTATAGAAATGTTTCCTTGTTCATTTTCACACTTGAGAGCCTAATGTTGGCCACCTCATAAATATGGATGAAGGTGCCTGGGTTTAGCATAGGTCTACGGAAGACAGCTGGGGAAAAAGGGCCTGAGGGAAGAGCTTCTGTACCTCAGCTGTGACCTTCCTATTCGGGCTCTCCCCAAGTGTCTTCATGGGCTCTGTTCGGTTGGGTGGTGGTGGCAGGGAGCAGGATCATCTGAGATTCCCAGGAGACAGCAACAGTAGAGATTAAAGTGCAGTGCAGTGGTTGAGATCTTCTGCACCATAGGTACACATGGAGTGATGCGTGGATTGGGGTGGCCCTTGCAGTCCACCTGGCTGGCTGTCCCCTTGAGAAATGCATCATGGTTTTACTACAGAGCTTGACCCTTCATTATAGTAGTTGCCTCTGGGAAGGTCATTTCACCAATCACAGGCACATAAGTTTCTTTCCCACAGAAGTTGAATGTCCCCCATTATCTCTTCTGTCTTAACTCTGGCATAACCTATTCTACCTTCCCCGGGCCCTGCTGATCTCACATCCCTTTGTTCCAACTAGTCCTGGGTGGTGATTCTGAACAAATTGTGTTTGGCGGTGTCTTACATTCTTTGCTTCTCTGAACAGGGAGGAGATAACAGAGTATACCCCAAAGTCAGGACTTCCACCCATCAACATGCAGGCTCTCCAAGCCACTGTCAAGCAGCTGCTGGCAACTACACGGCCACTTGACCCAAAGGAGGCAAAAATCTATTTCATAGGTGAGGCTGCCACAGTGGTGGGTCACAGGAGAGGTAGGGCCCCCAGCGGTAGCTTGATTCCTGGGCTCAAGAAGTGCCACTGGCTTCTAGGTGCAATCCACATGGTGGGTAACAAGCAGGTAGTCAGGACTAAGCTACCTGAGGCACACTGCTGCAGACCAGGGTGAAGGCCTTCTCAGCTGGGTCACTCTACCTCTGATGTAGGGTCTTGGGGCCTACCAGAGTCCAGATTCCTTCATGTGCCTTGAGTGGGTGTGGGTTTGGTTTTATGGTCCTCTGGCTGAGTTCACCAGTGCAACTCCCTTCCCATAGAGCACGTGGTCCATCTACCACTCTTTGGCTACAACACTTACATTGTGGAGAGGACCAGCAACCAGAGGATCCCTGTGCCCTGTGTCATTGGAGTGAACAGGGAGCAGATCATCCTGGTGGACAGGGAGACTCAGGTATGTTGCCCTTCTGCCTCTCCCACTCTGCTCCCTCCAAAACACCCCAAAGCTAATTAGTCACCCTATGCTTTCCATCTTGCATTTACTTTGACTTGAGGAACCAGGCAATGAAATTAGGGCAGCTTCTAACCAGCAACAAACCAGGTGCAGCTGTGTTCTTGTTCCTGCTGCCTGGCAGCACCACCCCAGCAATGATGTCAGCCAGGCTCCCCCTTCCTGCCGTGGATTGAAGCAGGACTCATCTCATGAGCCTAACTGGACCTTTTGTCTTTGAGACTTTGACTGATTAAAAACTTCCCCCTGTGGGGTGCTAGGGCCATGTAGCCCCTTGCAGCATCAAGTTCAGGGCTACCTTGGCCTGAAACAGGCCCTCTTTCTTTCTGATGGGGTGGCTCTCTCCCTGTGTACAGGAGATCTACTTTGTCCTCCCACTGAAGGAGATGCAGAAGATGAGAACCTTGAGGGCCATGGATGACTCTGGGCCACCTGGTCTGGAAATGAATTACGGCACTCCTGAGGATCCCAAGACCATCTGGTTTGAACTGCAAAAGGTAAAGAGAACAGCACCTAGTGCTGTTGGATAGGCCTGAGCCATTGCCACCTCCTGGCAATTGAAGTATAGCTACCATGCTTGCTTCCATGTCTGGATCACCTACATTAGGCTCCTACAAGGAATCCTCCTTTCCCCAGACCCACTGCATGCCCATGCTGATTTCCAGGCAAGGGTGCTACTGCCTAACTCTCTCAGAGAGGTGGACTGTATGGACTGCACTTTCTAGCAGCTATATTCCAACCAGAGCCAAACTGTATCTTTGATGGGGCACACTGGAAACCATAGGTGCTTAAAGGTCCTCCACCCCTTTGCATTAGAGAGGATGGCAGCTGGGTGTCACTTAAAATGCACCATTTCATTTGAGTAGGGCATAATGCTTTCCTCTCTAGCCTTATCCCCTGCAGCTTCCAAACACAGTGCTGCACATGATGCACATACCTTTAGAAGGAGGGGAAAGGAGCGGAGATTTTCTGGGCAGGACCAGGGGATTGTAGTACCAGCAGGGGAAGAACTTCAGCATCTGGGTCTGCAAGCCTCAGTCTTTTCTGACCTGTGGGTAACAATACTAAGCAAGTTGCATGCTCTAGGCCAGTGGTCTCCAAACTACTTTGATCGCGCACCCTTATCAGTAAAAAAATTTTTGAGCACGCACCCCCAATATATGTATATTTATATAAATATAAATAGAAGTTATAATATTTTCTTCCTGTACCCCAATGGATTGTCTTGTGCACCCCCTGGGGTCCACACACCCCACTTTGGAGACCACTGCTCTAGGCAATAACAACATCCAGTCTCCTTGCCCGGCTGAAGATGGGGTGACATGAACGCTAAACCATTGTGTGCGGCTCAGAAGCTGTGTTGCAGAAGCCAGAAGCACTCCAAGGGCACAGGAAGTCCACCCCCCAGTTCAGCCCAGTGCCCAGGGGCCTATCCAGATGGGAAAGAGCCCAGATTGACTGGTGCTGAGGGGGTCATCTGTAGCAGCTGCCCAACAGTGATACATATGCTGGTCTCGCTGCCAAGTGCAGCAAGGCACTCCAGGCTTGTCTGTGCAGGGCACCTGGAATGGAGGGGTGACAAGAACCCCAGCCCCCTGGATGTGTGCTCTCAGGCTACACAAACTTAGGGCCCTCCTGTCTCCTTTAGGAGCATACAGGGCCTTGTGTGCTTGAGTTCTGGTGCAGTAATTTCTCACTGTTAAGCAGTTTACTCCACCCTAAGAGCTTGTCTCTAGGGAGGTTAGAGTAAGCATCTCACAGGGGAAGCATTATTGCAAAATCCTTATTGTGCTCCGAGTCCACCAAACTGCTTTTCCCCCCACCAATTTCCCAGAGTTGACCTGTTCTCCTCTCTATACAACACATCCTTTGATGGTACAAATGCTGTTGCAACAACATAATATAATGCAGGCTCCAGGTGACAATACAACTATTTCTACCTCCCCAACTACCAGCCCTAGTAGTAAAAAAGTCTAAAATTGTCCAGAGAACACAGAGGCGAAGCCTATTGAGTTACACGGGTTCTTAAGGCCTGGCTACTGTCTAGGAAAGATCAGGAGTAGGGAGAAGACTTTTCCCAAAGGGAAGGTCATGGCAGGGGCAAAGGAAGACAGCAGTTCAAGACTGCAGCTAGTTAAACAGAGATCAATATAGTTGCTGTCTGCATCTGAATTTCCTCAGCAGTGCCAAAAAAAGCAAGGGGATGAGAAGGGGGTGTAAAATGAGTGAAGCAGAACTTACTCAAGCTGGTTTCTATCTTGACAGGCTAAAGAAATGTATCATACGATCTCCATCATCTTGGATGAGGGAGAATTTCAGCCTTAGAGACGCATGCCAGCCCTCCCTTTCCTTCAGCTCTGGACACCACATTAGCACGCCTGGCATGAGCTCTGACAGTGTTCAGAGGTGCCCTCCCTTCCCTGCTGCCCAGGATTGTCATCACATTGAAGTTCCACCTTCTATCCTGCCTCACGACAAACCTGAACAGAATTCCCCTCGTGCACTCTCTCACCTCTTCATAACATAGAGATGGTTCGCCTGTCAGCTGCCTTCACTGTCTGCTGGAGTTGTAGAGGTGCCCCACCCAGTAAACCTGGCTTCCAGAAAGCAGAACAAGATTTGCTCTTTTCCCCAGGCTCTAAGCCCCACTCGTAGAACAGCCAAGCAGGTGCAAGTAAGGAAGGGAAAGGCCAGTGACGTCGGGAAACTAACTGCAGGGGCTTGCGGTGGGCAGCATCCCCCCCATGCCAACTAATCTCTTAAACAGTAACAGCAGCAGAGACTGGTGCTTTTCAGAGACTTTGCATCCCAAGGAGAAACCAAGGCTCAGATATGACTGCAGTTGTGGGGAGTGAAGTGCCTGAGACCAGCCCCTACTCCACCCTGAAGTGCAAGAACTGCCCTGGCCCAGAGCCCTACCAACAGAAGCCTACCTGAAAGCATCCCCATGACCTGCAGGGCAGATCAGTGTTAATACACAATCATGGCACCTGCCAAGGCAGAGGTTGGGTTGCATTGGTAAGAAAGTTTACTGCTAAATTGGTTTACTATCAACTGTACAGTATATGCTGCTTTTTCCTTCTAACATAGCCCTCACTTAGAATTGAGATACAACATCTGTGGATACCTGACTGAGTTCTTAGCCTATCTGCCCACTGGACTATGATGGATTGGGGGAAAGAAAGGCAAGGTCCTTAATTTATTTTTATTACTCTGGATTTCCAGTTGGACTCATGAGGTTTATGCTTCTGCAGAAGCGAAATGAAAAAGTTTTGTAGCTGCTAAAGTTTATTAAAACTAGTAACCACATAATACAGACACGTGCATTACCTTAAGGCTAAGAAGCACCTGCTTCAGGGGAGGGTGGGAAAATATAAGCAGGAGGAGTGGAATGTGGACTGTGGAGTTAGTTACAACCGGGCAAAGGCAAGGGCTGCTGGGAGATGAGCATGCACATTTTCAACTGGTGGAGCTGGGAATTGCTGCTGGCCTTACCCTGCCTTCTCCTAGTGCCCTGGAATGGGCAGATGCAGCCCTGTGGCAGCAGAAATGAGGGGAAGAAGTGCTACTGTGGACAGCAGAGGTAAGATAGTCTGAGCAGCTTTGCACATCTTTCTCCTTCCAGTTCTCTTATAAGCTCCTAAGGGCCTTTCAGCCATCAGAGAGTGTGCCTGCAGAAAGCAGGTCACCACAGTAGCACTGCAGTGCATGACACTAACCTAGAGCACCTCGGAGGGCTGCAGCAAGGCAGATAATCAGCCAGCAGCACAACTTCTCTGCTTAGAGATCTTGGCTAACTCCAACAGGGCAATCTCTACTCACCTGAAGAGTTTGGTGGGACCAACAACTGCAATGCAAAGCAATGATCTAAGGCCATGGCTGGAAGATCCTAGCATACAGTGAACTGTACCACACAACTTTGTGCGAGACAAAAGGCTGACAACTGGGATGTGAACCTGCAGTACAGGCATGGTTCTAGCACAAGGAGCAAGGTTGCAGGTAGGAGTATTGTCTGGGACCCAGCACCAGCTTCTGCTCAGTTCTGCACACACCTCAAACCTTACTCTAGGCTAGGGAGTTTCTATGGCAAACTTTAGGCCCACCACAGAGTGCCATTTGCTGCTACCCAATCCAAATCCAGTATTCATAGAGGGAGAGAATCTAGTTTTTCCTTCCAGCAGACATTACCTTTCAGTTCCCTAAGGGCCCGAGCTCTTCTTACCTCTTCATTCACCATGCGACACCTTGCATGGTCAACAACAAATACATTTCAGTAATAGAAAAATGTTCTAGGTAAAATGAAACAGCAAGAACTAAGAAAAGAGCCTGTAGCAACAGTCATTATTTATTATCAGTTTGTCATGTACCCTTCAGTACATATAAAAAGCCCAGTTTCCCCAGGTACAAGCTACTTGAAGCTCACTCCTCTCCTGGCTTCTCAAGCGGTGGGTCAGTCTAGCGGCACTATCTTCTCTAGACAAACAAAGGCAGAACCCAACAAAACACCAATGTTCCTGGGAGCCAGGTTAAGACTTACTGGCTCCCTCCACTTCAGGGCCTTGTGCAGATAGAGGAGCTCCTAGCATACGCACAACAGTGGGTGTCTAGTCAGCATCACTCTCTATATTGCAGTCCCTAGGTTAGGCACAGCTAGTTGATATGGCTTTTAGGAAAATGCTAGGGAGGAAAAAAAGTCACTCACTTTAATACCAACCCCTTATAAACACAACCATCTGGGGAGGTTAATACTGAGAGAGCAGCCAGCCAGCCTATTATAGGGCAGTAATGCCCAATTTGTATTTAAAAGGGCAGACGGAACTACGAGCAATAAATTAAATCCAGGCTTAAAAGAAACAAACACAAACGAAAAAAAGACCTATTAGGGCCCCTGGTTCTAGCTGCTGCAGGGTAGAACTGTTTTCTCTTTCCCTTAAAGTAAGTGTCAGGAACATGGCTGTCATCTCCCATCAGTACAAACCCTGAGCAAAACGCATGCAGCTGAGTTCTCAGCGTAAGGCTTCTTTTGGTAAAAATTTAAATAAAGTTGGGGGGGGAACACTGCCAGGGAGCAGCAGCATCCCAGCCACATCCATCTCCATCACAGCCTGCAGTTCTAAAGCCCTTCTCAAACCACAGTGGGAAGCAGAGGTGGGGGGCATCACAGAGCACCTGAGGAGAGCAGCATTAACGATGGCAGACCTCCAAGCAAGGGCTGACGAAGATGGCATCGTCTCTTCATTGCTGGAGAATGCCTGCAGGCAAAACTGCAAGGGTCGCTTTCCTAGAGATGATGTCAGGGCCACCAAGGTGGCAGAGATTCAAAGAACCAAAAAGCAGCAGGGCTGGAAAGCTCCCCTCTGCATCTCCATGAAACTCCTTGGAGTCCAGTGACCACAGGCAGGAATGGAGCCAGCAGAAGAGCAGGGGGATCATCTCTCCAAACTGGACAGCTCCTGCCAGTCTGCCTCGTTTTCACACCTGACCCTTGTTTTGAAAAACTCCTTGATGAGTCTTTGTGCTTCTTCTTTAACTGTAGAGAGAGGATAAGGCTCCTTTGAAGAGACAATCCTGCACCACCCCTTGCCCCAGCTGGGTCCAACATTATCCTTACTTTGAGAGAGCATTAACTCATTTAGCACCTAAGACACCCCATGCACCAACAGCGGCCAACTCACCCGTCTTGCGGATGGGGTTCTTCTCTTCAGTTAGTAAGTGAGAGAGGTGTCGGGCAAACCCCTTAAATAGATCCTGAAGTGTAGAGGGAGAAGCAGAGAGCAACGGTCACTTGCTGCTGAAACCATCACCATGTCAAGCATGAACATTTCTAAGTTGTCCAGCACCTAACACAATGCAAGTGAAGCATTAAGAGTATACTATTTGGACTGCACTTGTCTACAGAACAAAATTGGAGACCCATTACATTATGCTCTGTGTGTGTATACACATATAGGTTGTGTCCTGAAGGTCTTAGCTAGAACAGACTGGAGCCAAACTTTTCAAAAAATCATAAATCTGACAGGACAAACATGACATGGCATCAGGGTCCCAGACACCTCTGGCTACAGTGACTGCACCCTGTCTTTGTCTGTAAGGGAGTTTTGCTTCTTGGGTCATTAAGACAGCTGAACTCCACTCCGGATGTGCATTATGTTCAACCACCACGTGGCAGGGAGTCCTTACAATCAAACATTAGCAGCCCACTGAGTCCATGCATCCCTTCCACATCCCAAAGCCTTGTTCAGATGCTGCTGCAGTCTCTTCTTGACAGAGGAAGCTATAGATTATGTCTTACCTTGGAAGCAAATTTGCCCCCCTTATAAAATGGGGTCAAATACTTGACGACTATGTCTGCTGTCTCCTTGAGGGACATGCCCTTGGTAACTGGCTGGATGGTCTTGGTGGTTCCTTCTTTATCAACCTCTGACAAGCTTGGATCAAAAGTCACCTTCTTCTTTACGGGGCCAACACCTTTGCCCTCTGGCTGGGACAAGATGGAAGATTTACCCACTGTCCGCACCTTCTTTGCTGCAGGGCTCTCCATATCCTAACAACAAAGCAAGAACAGTGCTTATTCATGCAGCAGTATCAGACCCCCAAGGCCCACATTACCTTCGGAGAAACGAGCTTCCTTATCCCACCCTGTAATTTCTCACTTAGAGAACATCATGCCGAGATCGATTTGACTGGCTCAATCTCCTTCTGCAGAGACGTGGTAAAAGGGTCATGAAAGAAACCCTCTACAATCGCTATGTTTAGGATTAGCTTCTCTTAAGACCAGTGTATCTAACTTCATACAGGAAAGAGATGGGAAAACTAATTTGGACATCTGTAGGGAATGGGTCTCCTGGACAGAACTTAGCTGGACACAAGTTTACTGACAGATTCATACTGGTGCCCCACACATGGGAGCAGGTTCTAGAGCAATCACGCATCAAAAATATAGGGCTGGGGGCAGCAAGACTGGACAGTAAGTGCTAACTGCACAGATGCCCACTACTCTCTAGTCCATAAAGGTCAGCCTTGATGGTTTCTCAGTGAAGGCAGCAACCACCATCTTATTTACAGCAACACAGAGGCTGTAAGAAATACTCAGAACCCCCAGCTACTTGCTGCGAGCCTGTACTTAAAGTTAAGTATCACCATCCACATTTCATAGAGAGGAAGAAAAACAACCAAAACCATCACAAGCCAGAGGCCTAATTTCCAGACAGTCGAGCACAGACAGCTTCAGTATGTTCTGCCCAGAGTTGGTAGTGTTCAGCATCACTACAGTCAGGCCAGAAGCAGCTTACCCAAGTCTTGCAGCATCTCTCATACTAGATCCTAGGAACTCAGGCTTCCCAGTGAGAGCACATGTCTATGCTCTGCTGTAACTGGAACAGCACTGATCCCAGAGAACAACTTTATCATGTGAGTTCAGACCAGGAGGGTCATGCCCAGGGAGACACAGGGTGCAAGTCAAGTGATGAAGAACAGGACAAAAAGACTCATTAAGTCTTACCTCCTCTGGTCCTGCTCTCTTCCCAATCTGACTTTCCCCAGCAGGAGCAATTTCAGCTTCTGTAACAGCTTCAGCACTGTGGGGGAGAGGAGGACGAGATCATTTCCTTTGGTTTAATTATTCCTTGACAAAGGCTTTCCAAGTGCTGATGGCTTTACCAGAGTTTTACAGCAAATGACTGCAACTGCACAATGGATTTTCCCTATCCCCAAGGTGGGGTTTTAATGCATATTCCCACCTCAAAGGGGCTGCCTGGGTTAAACAGCCAAAAAAGCAGATGGGGCAAAGGCCATAGCAGGACTGAACTGAGGCAGAACCTCAGAAGCCCTCACCTGGGTTTAGCATCAGTATCTTGCTCTGCTTGCATGGGTGCAGATCCAGAGCCCTGTTCGGTCTCTGAGCTCTCATTCCTGTCAGTCTTCCTTGACGCAGGCTCCTCTGCCTGGGACTGCCCAAGCACATTCCCTGCTGACACCCTGTTGTCCTCTTGAGCCTCTTTCCTTTGAGGTTCTAGCTTGTCCTGCTTCTCTTCTGGAGAAGACCGAGGTAGTTCATTCACAGGAGAGGTGTCTCTCTCTGCCAAGATGTGTCCTGAGACTTTTGGTGCTGCTTTGGAAAGAGAGAAGAATTTGGAAATGTCCTGGGATTCTTTTCTTGCTGCTTCTGCCAGCAGCTGCTGCTTCTTGGTGGATTTTGCCTTTTTGGTAAGGCTGTCCCACAGGGAGACTTTGGAATCCTCACTGGGCTGCTGTCCCTTGTTTTCAGGGACTTTTACTGCTCCTCCTGCACTTGTGCATGCTGCTTTGGTCACCTTTTTTTCATTTCCAAAGCCAGCGTCTCCATTACCCAGTCCTGAATCACATGGGTGGCTGCCTTGTGAGCCTGCACAATCCTCTTCCTCCTCCACCAACTTTGCTTCACTCCCCTCCTTCGTCTTCAGCAGTTCTGAAGCTTTCTGGAACAAGTCAGAACCCCTTCGAAATCCAGCTCCCACCCGCTTGGGCTTGAACTAGAGAAAGAAGGAAGCCAGACAGAGAGAGAGTCAAGGAGGCTGTCACAGGGGGTCCACTCCTGCTTAATAGCCCCATGCCTGCCAACTTCAAATGAAACTTGGCTCCTTCCATCACACGCACATATTCCCTCACAGGCAGCTTATTCTGTGTGGATGGCTTATTTTTGAGGCAAGACCTCAGCACTGATGCCAGAGATAGCCTGTTTGGGTTTAAGGAGGGGATGGACAGAGGCTGAATTAATGGCCTCTCCCCACCAAATGAAGAACAGGCCCCCAAAACAAGGGAACAAGCAATCACTTTAGGCAAAAAAATAAGACAGGTTCTAAGGCACAAGGGACGAGAGCTGAGTGGGAACACTGGGCACAGAGCTGTGGAGAGTGCCCCATGCTCCATGAAACAGTGGATGCTACCACAACTTCCACCCTGAGCTTCCTCCTCAGGATCTGACAGGCAGCCACTCTGGCCAGTGCCAGAAGGTGGCTCAGGAGGTCTTGTGACTTTGTGGGGCTACAGGTGGGCAAACACGTAAGAACAGGCTGGCGGAGAAGTGCAGTGCTTCTAAAACCCCTGCTGAGGTTTGGGCTAGAGCCTGCTACATTCTACATGTACCAGGATCTCTGCCTTGCACACAATGCAGGTAGCAGGACATGTCAGTGCCCTATAGCTAACACAGAGGACATCAGAGCCATAATCCTGCGCAGCAGAGTTCCTGCCAGCACAAGAAATAGCAAGACAAGCTTCCTCCTGCCAAAATGCTTCGTCCCAACCAGTAGAAACCTCTGGAGTGTGGGGTAGTTTAATCCTAGAGTCTCATTCAGTTCCTGGAGCCCCTCAACAGAAGCTACCAAGCAGAGATGCCAGAAGAGGAAATGCACCCACTAGGAAGAATCAGCCAAAGCTACAAAACATCTTGCAAGAAAAGCTGGCCCACCCCTTATTTTCTAATCTCATCTTTATACATGCCCTGCTGGGGCTGCAGCACAAGATCTCACAGCTTAGAAAAAGGCATGGATGGCTTTTTAGCTAAATCAAGCATTCAGCACTCTCAAATGGCCAGGTGGCCACCAACTCTTACATCTTCCAGGCAGGAAGGAGGCTTCCATTACCAGCAGGAACCCTGTAATCCTTCTGGGTAGTGCCCTTCCATACTTACCGAATAGACTTGGGATGCT